AAAGGCCATTTTTATGCTTCCAAATCTGTACAGCAGCGGCGAGATCCCAATAAAAGCACCTTGCTGTAATGTAGCTATTCTATTGAATTTTAAGTCTCTATAAAATATTGTTATTTGAAAAAATGTTAAAAATAATTGTCATTAAAAAAAGAAGTAACCAAAATTAATATATGCAAATAATATAATTACACTTACATAAATTTGATGCCGTATGCTCCACTAAATGTTCCATTATCTATTACAGCGATTTGATTGTATGAGAGATCCCTGGGAGATGAGTAGAGGCCCAATTAAAATGCTTTAATTCCGTCCGTCCGTCCTTCCTTCCTTCCTTCCTTCCTTCCTTCCTTCCTTCCTTCCGGCCGGCCTGCCTTTCTTTCTTTCTTTCTTTCTTTCTTTTATTTCTTTATTTTTATTCGTTTGTTTGTTAGTTCATTTGTTCATCAATTTATTTGTCTGTTTGTTACTTTGTCCGTCTGCCCGTTCAGCCAGTTTTGCAGTTGTTTTAAAAGACTTATCGTGTTGACTTACAATGAATTATAAATCTTCACACCTTTAAACACTCCTGGGGTAATTACTTCAATGTTAGATTTTCTAAGATATCTGAAGCAAAATAAATAAAGCTAATGTACATGTTAGTCGAGATACGTTTTAGTAGCTTAGGAACGGCTGGCTATGGCAAAGTTACTAAGTCTTCTAGATAGATTAGAGATCAAGTTGGATTTTATTTCACGAGCAAATATGTCACTCTTTACACTGATCAAGACAAATGCATGAGCAAAAGTATGATGTCTGACAGCATAGTGCAATCACACTCTCAGGCCTTTGGACTGAGAGGAAAGTGGATTTTTTTTTTGATAAGAGAAGGCGGTCCAATATTGTGTCCCCCAGAACAATTTCTCTAGGAAATCAATCATATGGGGTCTATACACTAAGTGTACAATCAAAAAATAAAGGAGGATGCAGTGTATTTATCCATTAATATGAATTTCAATGAATTTGGTTTTAATGGATGATAAAGAAATTACTGCGGACGTATTTCGTTTTAGACTCCTTCATCGATTGCCGGATACAAATTATTTTATTTAACTTAAAGCATTAAGATGTTGCCGTCCTTACAGATTTTGTATCTCGCTTGCACCTTTGAACATCTCAAGTGTTGACAAGTTTGTGAGGTTGTTTCCTTGGAAAGACCTTGTATAAGTTACGAAAAATAACATGCGTATTATTGTCGTTTTCATTGGCCGAGATAGTAACTGCCAATAGTCAACTTCAAATGATGGTCTGCTCATGCACGTTTTTGCTGCAAATAATAGTCTGTTCCTGAACAGTTAACTTGCACATGATTTGCTTCCTGCTGAGCTGTCGCAAAAATCTCGGACTTTGCATGTTTGATAGGCAGCAGAATTGATTTGTTAATGGTTTGCTTTCCGAATTTCCGATGTTTTTTTGTGGTATTTCCTCTCATTTACCACGATGTTACTTCAACAATTGGTCAAAATTATGGTACCTGAAAAATTATTAACTGGTCAAAAAGTCGTACGCTTAGGGGTCCCGCTCACACGGACTAAGCTGTCCGAACACAAATCCGTACGCCTAGCCGTGCAAATTTGGATCCGGTTCCGTGTAAATAGAACATATTTGTTATACAATTAAAGAGACGGTTCCGTGTAAGCGGTATGTTCCATATTTTTGACCGGTTAAAAAATTGGTCAGGTACCATCTAAACGCAGCGTTAGTTATGCACCCACTGGCGTACGTCTCGTGAGTACGTATCATTTTTCACCAACTGTTGACGTCATATCGTGGTAAATAAGAGGACATACCGCGCAAAACCATCGAAAATCTGTTAAATTTTCTTTCTTACACTTTTTTTAAATAGCTGGTCGTATTGAATACTCCTTGTTCAATATTAATGATTGGATTTTCTTCAAAATGTCTGGAATTCGGAAAAATCAACAATCGTTACTCGCTGCCTGTGACTCACTGCTATAAATAAATAAATGAAAAAGATGGATGYTTGCCTATTTACGAAGAAACATACAGTTCGGTCACATAATATAAGCCGTAAAGTAMTCCAGAACGAACAAGTTTTATTTTATTTCCTTCGAGGTGTCTGGGGAAAAAAGTCATAAGTAATTAAAACTCTACAGATGGAATCATTGAAATGTGAAAAGTTAAAGTGTATATTAAGGGCTTTTTTTATTTCGAAATCACTTATATGTGAACAGTGTAGTAGTAGGGTTGCAGAATTTTTGTATGTGGAATTTTCTTTTCAGTGATATAGACATTTGAAATATCAAAATGCTGAAATGAGATGACGTAATTCGTTATACAAAAATGCTGTTGTGGAATGTACTGCTGGTTTTTT